AATGTAACTTTTTTCACCATCCTTGTAGCTCCTACCCCAACAACACCTCTTCTGCACCTAAAAAAATTCTGTCATATCTTCTATAAACCAACCTCATTGTCGCCTCCTCACCATGTTTCTTGTCATATTTACCTATTACCAAACATGACACCCATTAATGTTAAATCATATTAATACCTTTATTTTTAAAAGTAGGAGATTGGATGATTAGTGTAATAAATGCTTCAAACAAGTCTTATATGTGACAACCAAAGTCCATTCTCATCGTTAGTAACACTCGCTAAAAAGAAAGATGACACCTAGCATCTTTGTGTCAACTATTATGCCCTAAACTCAATGACTATTAAATATTGTTTTCTAATACTTACCATTGATGAGATATTAGATGAGTTGCACGATGCTCGTATTCTCTCCAAGATGGACCTTCGTGTGAGCTACTATTAAGTTCTTGTGCACCCCGAAGACATCCATAAGATAGCTTTGCACATACCACATAAGCATTAAAATTTTATAGTTATGTTATCCAATCACTTTAATGCCTATGCCCCTACAATATTTTATGCATTGATGAACTCTATTTTTTAAGACTTTCTTAACCATTCTATCACTATATTTTTTGACAACATACTATAATACTCCTTTAGAAGGTCATCATTTGGCCACTTAACTCGCGTGTTCAACAAATTGTATGAGCACATTCTCTTTGCTAAGAGAAATAAGTGTGTTTTTGGCCAAACAATCTATAGAATATATAGCCACATTATGTATGCTTGAAGGGTTTCCGTTTATTCAATCAAGTTAGAAGTCATTTTAGATTGACATTAGCTCAGATTTTAAGCAATTGTGGGGATTTTTTGGTCTTACTAGTTATTATAGACATTTTGTACCTAATTGTACTACCATTGCTCAACCATTGTTTCAATCACTTACACAAAAGCACTTTAAGTGGACTCTTGCAATGTAATGTGCATTTAGACTCACTTAAATCCATAATGACAAACCCACCGGTGGTAGCACTTCACAAATTTCAAAATTGAGTAAACTCACAAAGTAGTTCCTTAAATAGTAATTGTCATGCATATTAGTTCCTTACCTTTCCAAATTGCTTTGTTAATCATTGGCATAACAAGTTGTTAGGTAATTAGGTTTTTCACGTAAACTAACGACTGAAAATCGTTAACTTTTGTTTTAGTGAAATGTAAGATATTAAATCGATGTTGTTCTACTCAAGGTTAGGGACTATTTTGACTTGTTTTTGTCACTATTGCTACTGCTTTCTTTGACCCCTCACTCACGACACTTTTAGCCACAATTGCCACTTCAAGGAAGCATAAGTCTTCTATGTACTTTAATAATGACTAATTTGTAAAATTTTAAATTATCTTTGCACATGAAAGATTAAAATTAGATTTTTCAATATAAATGATAAAAAAACAAAAATCACAATCTCACAAACATCTCAAGGCAATGAATATTCATATATTCTTTATAAAAAGTTGTAAAAGGCAATGCTAGTAGCTTCTTTATAATTCCAAACACATAAAGCTCTTTGCATCCTCCATCAACACCACAATGTCATTATTAGAAGCTAGAGAACTTATAGTTCATTCATTTATATTTTGATATCTTAGTCTCACATTGGATGAGTGATAAACTTTTTTGGTAAAATTTTAGATTGGATGCTTATCAAGAGGTATAGGCTTATGAGGGTGTCTAAATATTTGAATCCATATTATTGTTATATATTAGCATGCAATCACAAAAAAAAGAAATAGAAGTATTTTATCAAAAATATATTGGATATTATTTTTAAATAATTATTCCAAGAGTCTGATGATCTTTTAAGATTAAGGACTCTTACATGATAAACATAGATTCACAACCTTATAAATCTATCATAATTAATAACTTAATCATTTATGAAAAGAGGAAGAAGTTGATGAAAAAAGTAGGAAGAACATAATAGAGAAAAAGATAGAGTAAGAGAGAAAAGAGAGCTAATAATTTGTTACTTAATTATAAATCTTTACTAAATTAAAATATCTCTCAAAATATTATCTCAACAAATTTTAACAAAATAAAATAAAATAAAATAATTAAAATAAATTTAACCCTCATAAAAATTTTAAAATATATAAAAATATCTAACATTTTTTTACATTGTACTCATTATTCAACATGGACGTATAATTCTCTTTTCAAAATTATAGTCATGCTTGCCTAAAATGCATATGTTTACTAATAATATGTTACTCCACTTCTTTATTGTTACTTCTATGTACCACCTAAGAAATAATATGATGTGTTTGCTTTATGATCACACATGTTGACGTCGTGTGATTAATGTCATTAGTTTCACTTTTATCTAACACACTTAACTTCTTAATTTATTGTCTCCACAATTCTCTCTAATTGGTTATCAAATTTTCATTATTAGTTACACTTGCTAAGTCTCTAACTTTATATATTTTTTCTTATGCAAAACTATTTTTTTTTTCAATCTTTGTCATAATTACCTCAATATTTGAGCTTCTAGGGAGATTTAAATTATTACTTTCGAATATATTTTATCAATATTTAATTCACTATTATAGCCTTCCAAAACTAAAAGTGAGACCCCAAAATTGCCATTTTTATCTCTTTCTACTTTCTATTTTCTTAACCCTAGTTTCAGTCAATCACATCTTCTTGTGATTCATTTTGTGTGTTCAATTCTATTAAACTATAATCCTAAGGCTTACCACATGTGTTGAACAAGTTGCTTGATCAATATCTACCATGGAACCAGTAACATTACCATAATCCTTTGTTATATATTTTATTTTTTGATTATATAATAAGCTTCTTTGTTACTACATCTTTTCTTATAACGACCAAAATAATCATATGGTAAACATAATATATGCAACCTATCATAATCAATCTTGTAATATATCTCATATAATTTAAACATTTCTAGTAGTGACTTTGTTAGTCTACCTCAACATCAAGTCATAATATTTCCTCTATTTTGCTGTAAATGTTGTATAATCCAACATAACAATCTTTCTTATCTTATTATCAATAAAATGCAATACATCAAGGTTATAATACTCAACGAGAAGCCTAGAGAATCAAACTCACACTATAATTTTCTATATGATTTTTGGAGACTAGGTGAAAGTTAATGTTTCACTCTTGCATCATAAGATAATGATCATAGATGAGCCTCTTTGCTAAAAAATTTAGTAATGAAAAAGTCTTGGCATAACTTGCATGTGTTTTAACTTAACTTTCAAGGCTTTAAAACCTATTTCTTTACAACCCTCCTCCCTCCTTCCCCCAACAATTTGACATTGATACAATTTTTTATGGTCAACAAAATCCAATTCTCCCCTTTGTAGAGAGAATAATGGAAGGACATTCATAACCTCCTAATATGTTTGCAACTATATAGATTCTATTGCATTCTTTTTCCATTATTTTCTTTTTTCTCCTCTTCACTTTTCTTTTTCTCTTTTAATTTTAGCATTTAATTATCACTTCCAATTTCATTTTTATCAAATTCACTATGATTCTTTTTTCCTATAATAATATCTTTGTATATTTCGTCTCTCATCCTCCATTATTAAAGGTTCATCTAGAATATTGCTATATGCATAGAATCTTTAGCACTTCGATATTTTTATACTTTTATTTCTTTAATTATTTGACATCACATACATTCTTCTTACTCTTTAATATTATCTTTTGAAAGAAGCTTACTCTTATTATACTTTCATTGTATAAATAGAAATTTATTTAAATAGTATTAAGACCTTTGTTTACAAGTAGACGTGTAATGAGATTGAATTGACTAATTAAGACACAAATTTAAATTATACAAAAAATAATATTTAAGCTTGATTTATTTATTTAAACAAGTTAAATTTAAAATTTGAGTTTAATTTAATTAAAAAATTGAAATTTGAATTTGTTTAATTTTTTTACAAGTATTAAATAGTTTTTAATATAAATTTAATATTTAATAAATATTTTTATAATAAAAATAAAGTAAAATAGTAATAAAATATAATTTTATCAAAAGTTAAAAATATTTTTTATCATAAAAATAACATATTTTTAAAAAAATTATGATTACTTGTATAAAATATAATTTTTAAAAATTAAAATTAAATAAATAATACACATACAATGATAATAATAATAAAAATATACGTTTAAGTAAATATTACAATTAAAATAATAATTATTCATAAAGTATTAATGTCTAAGTTGGCGACATTTAAGTTTGACTTATTTAAATAATTATGTTTAATTTTAAGTTAGAATTTATTTGATTAAGTAAATATTTTATTTAATAAAATTCAAAATTAAAATTATAAATTAAGTTTGAATAATTTTTTACTAATTAATTTATGTATCTGATAGTACTTTTTTTTCTTATTTGTTAAAAAATATTATTTATCTCTTTACATTAAAATTAGAAAAGTGTGATAAATATAATTTTTAATAAAGAATATTATTTTTAAATTCTTAAACTCAATTCTAAAAATTAAAGTTATTATTTTTCAAATATAAATAAAAAATAATTTGTGATAAGTATTTAAATAAATGATAAATTTTTTATTAATTTTAATTTTTAGAATTAGTATTTAGCATGAGAATGATTTTTTTTTTAAATATTATTATATTTGAGTATAATAAATATTTATTATTGTAATTAATTGATTGAGACTGAAATTTAAAAATAAATTTTCTAACCTGTGTAACTTTACACAAAATAAACCACAATAAATGTATTACTTAATTAATAAAAGGAGTGTAAAAAATATTTTTTTAAAAAATTATAATAAAATAATTAATACAAATTAATTAAATAATATACTTATTATAGTTTATTATGTGAAAAGTTGGCACAGGTTAAAAACCCACTTAAAAAACTAGAAAAATAAGAAGATAAAAGTAATGAACAGAAACAGAAGGCTATATCTGTATGCGTTGGGAATTACAATTCTTCTACTTACCACGTAAATATTGAACCCCAAATCACGAATGTGGTTTGCGTGATAAATGCGAAAGTTGAAAACAGCGCATCTACCTAACCCATTTCAACCTTCGTCTCCCTCTGTAATAAATCGACTTTAATGGACCCTCGTTCTCACTCACTACCCCACTAATTGTCATTAATTACTTAATCAATTAATTACTTCGTTTCTCTTTCCAGACAAAGAACGATTGTGTAAATTGTTTATCTCGCATGGTTTCAGATGAAGGAGGAGTTTGGCTCAACGACGTATATTTATAGCAAATACGGCTTCGCACAATAGAGATTGAAATAACACAAACAATGGATCCCAGAGAGGTTCGAACTGAAGCAATTTCGGATGCTGATCAATCAACTCATGCATATCATCTGGCTTTGGATATTGGGGGTAAGTTTCCTATTTTTCACTTGTAGCTTGTGATTTTTTTTTTCACTTATGGTTTCCGGAATTTTCTTTTTACGTTTTTCATATAAATTTGATGTCTTTGGTTTGTTCAATTTTGTGGGGGTACTCGTTTTGGTGAAAATTCTCAATCTTGATTGAGAGTTCCTCTATTCTCATTTTGGGTAGCTGGTATTAGTGCTTGTAACATTTGTCTTGGTTTGGTATCTGTGTTTATGGTTGTTACTTGAACCCTCTTTTTGCGTTGGTTTCGTGTTTTCCTTTGCCAGTTCAGCTTAATGTCCAAATTCAATTGCATGAGTTAAGTTTCTGAAGCTTGAAATTAGGTTGGTTCTGAATTAGAACTTTCAACATTGGAAGTCGCTGAAATTCAGTTAGGGGTGAGAATATTTGTTCTTCTGACGGGGGTGTCACAAATACTCACATAAAATTCAAGTTACATGGGTGAATTAAAAAATAAAAAAAAAAGCTTCACTGCTTCAGGCTTAATTTATGATTCCAAATTGCCTAAAAACTCAAATGGAAAATCCTGTTGGATTATGGTGGTCTGGTGAATGTTTGAATGGAAATTACTAACATGAACAAAAATAAGTGTGACGAGATGAAGTTGTTGAATTGGATGAGTAGGGATATGAGAAAGGACAAGATTATGAATGAATTTAACTGGGAGGGGAAAATTGGAGTAGCAGCCATTTGATCTGAGAACATGACAGAAATATGCCTGTGTCATTTGAGAAGAAAACCAATTGAGGCTCTGCTGGACAACATGTATCGAATGAAAGATAGTTTGATCAAAAGGGTTAGAGAAGAGCTGTGAAAACATTAAGAGAAATCCGTTAAAGAATACCCTCTGCTAATTTTTATTCACTGAGAATTTGTAGGTTTTTGATAAAGCCCAGTGGTGATGATTAATCTATATGTAGCCAAAGGCTTGATTGTTGTGTATGTTCTATTGTAATTGCTTTGAAGTTTAATGTTTATTTTATTCATTTTCATAGTGTGTTCAACTTGCATGCCTGCTTCTCATTTTTCTGGACTATTATGATGTAAACACTGAAAATTTCAACTTGATTTGATATCTTTATCTCTCTCGCACACGCAAACCCTCATCTTTTTTTCATTACTATTAATTTATGGCAAATGCTAATCTTTCCTAAGGGAATTAGTTTTGGAAATAAAAATAAAACGTTTTTATTAATTAAGAAAGCATTTATTGTATTGAAAACACAGAAGGTCATTCAATGCTGGCATTCAATGACACACCCAAACCCTCATCTTGTTTTGTTACTATTATTTTTTTGCAAATGCTAATCTGTTCTAAAGGCATTGTTATGGAAATAAAAGTAAAAAGTTTATATTAAAAAAGAAAGCATTTATTATATTGAAAACACAGGAAGTCATTCAATGCTTGCATTTTTGGGTAATTTAAAGCATTTAATAAGATATATTTAATGTTTCTGAATTTATTAAGCATAATTATTATGCATTGAAAACTGTTTGCCTGCACTTTAATGAGTACGAGATTCTACGGTTTCTTGGTCGTTGGTATTTTGCTTGGGAGTTCTGCTCATCATTCCGATGTATGTGTGAATTTCTCAACTTGATTGATGTCATGTCATTGGCTATGGATTATCTTTTGATATTGTCATCATTTTTCTTGAGCTAACTTGCATATTGAAAATGTAAATGACACTGGTCTTGTTAACATCATTGCATTATTTAGAAAATTTGAAAGTATGATTATTACTTTGCTGTCCAACTATCATTAATTTTGTCAGACTTCTGCCCAATTTTGGTGAATTGTGAAGGGAAGTTCTGCTTCCACATCAACTATCTCTTGCCTAAAGTAATATTGTTCACTGTTGACAGGATCTCTTGCCAAGCTAGTTTACTTCACAAAAGATGATGATCATTTCATTGATGGTGAGGAGGGTATATCTCATAAAAAGGCTATCGAGAAATCCAATGGAAATAACCAATATCATGTTCTTAATGGGAGGCTCAATTTTAAGAAGTTTGAAACGAGCAAGATAAATGATTGTTTAGAATTCATCAAGACCATGAAACTTCATTTTGGAGGTGTGTACATAATTGTGTTCCTTTGTTTTTGCAACTCTTAATGCTTATAGTGTTTTTTTCAGTTTAACTGAATTTTCTGAGGCATGTAATTTTCTTCATGGTTAGCACAACATTTATTTCTTTATGAGACTGGATCAAGTTGCATTCTGAGCTGAACTTAACCAACCATTTTGCCTCTTTTAATCACTGTTGTATTGAATTGATCCCATATTGTATAGATTCCCAATCTGGCTGAACATAATTTCTTATCCCTGTTTTTGCTAAATTCTTTTATTCCTTCCTGATTTTTAAATTTTGCTGTACTTGCTCTGTATATGATTGGTCATGGAAGTCTCTAGTGTTTGTTAGTGACACTTGGTTATAAATAAGCTTAACTTGCAAATTTGTAGCCTTTGACCTTGAATTAAGCTTGATTTTAGTTTGCTAATTAGGTGATGAATTAACTTCATAGAATCCAAAGCGAAAGTAGCAGAATTTCAAACTGATGGATATCCTTAAGAACGTATATGCTTAAATAATTCTTACAAGACTTGTCATCATATATTTCATGATATCCATTCCATTTCTGAGGTCGTTCTGAAATTTTTGTTTCTAATAATGAATTCAGGCAATCAGTTGCACGAAAATCCTGGAAGTCTTCCGATAGCTGTTAAGGTAATCAAACTAAAAAGTTTGAGCTTGTCCTATTATGGAGAATTTGTTCTTATTGGTGTATTTGATTTTACAGACAAGTATTTTGAGAAAAATTTCTATAGATTCTATCTAAGCTAGTAACCAATTCAAGTTTTCCCCTGCTGTTATTTGAAGCAGTTTCTATTCCATACCTTCTGTTTTGCCACAGTTGATGGATATATAATTAATTCCTAGAAGCTGATTTAAAATTGAAAGATATTAATAGTTCCTGAAGGTAAACACATGCACAGGCACATGAACCTTACGGATATATTTCAAATGAAAAAGTATTTCACTTGATACAAGATAATATTTACTTAAAGGCACTTTATGTACTTCTTAAGAATGAAAAACTATTGGTGAGAAGGCCACAGGTGGTGGTGCATACAAATATGCAGACCTCTTCAAGGAAACACTAGGAGTCATTCTTGACAAGGAAGATGAAATGGATTGTCTTGTGGCCGGAGCAAATTTTCTTCTGGAGGTAGGATCCTAAAGCAGATACTAATTCTGCCATATTGTTGTTTCAAAGCAAACATTCTGTTATTTTTAAATCTCAAATAAAAATTATTGTGAGATTCAGATGCATTTTTCCTCCATGCATTCAATAAATAGTTTCTGATGTGCTAAAAGATTAGCATACGCATATGTGAAATTTTATAGTTCATACATTATGGTTAGGGACTTGGGGTGTTGTAAGTTTTAGCCATGATCTAATTTAGGCATGTGGTCAAAAGATGCTTTTTTTTATGTACATTAAGGTTTGCTAAATGATTTTTTGTCTTAAAAAGTTTCATTTCTTCTCTGTCACTTTTGGAACAATTGTGTTGGAAGATATTTTGTTTGAGAATTAATGAAAGTGGGCATGTAATGATCATTCAATTAATGCGTTCATGTGTTCAATCTGAAGGTATATGTTTGAGTCAGAAGACTTGCTTTTCATAAAGCAGCTCTAATGTTTACTCAATCTATTGAAAGCATATGCGTATTTTGATATTCAATGACTGTCTTAAATTGTAGTTTTTCCTTTTCATAAAATTACAAATATTTATCTTCAAGAAGTATGTGATCTGTATTATCAACGCTTATAGTTTGACTGACCTCATAACTCTGTAATTTCACAGCACTTAATGTTAAGTGTTTTATATTTAGCACTTATTGTCATTGGCTAAATGTGAAGCTAATTAGGCATATGGCTGTAGTTTGAAAAATGCTTTGTTTTGATTGTCATTTGGGTAGAATGTAGCACATCAAATCTAAGTAAATCACCTTTAGATTTTCAGCTATTCTGTCAGCTGTCTTTGTAAAGTGAGCTACACTGTCACTCATACATTTATTGAGATTTTGATTTTTTTTATTGGCTATGAGCTTACTGTCCATAGTGCTAATTGGATTGTTTTGTAAAATTTGGAGCCATTTGTACAAACAACAGGGATTATTTGTTATTGACACATAGAATCAGCCTTTGTTGTGTTTTAAAACTTTTTATTGTGGTGAAAAAAAAGTGTGGGTAAAATAACCGTTTGCTTTGAATGTCTATTCCCCTCCAAAATATTAAGCCAAAATTTTCAGTTGAGGACTGTTGTGTCATTTAAACTCATCTCGGCATCCTGCTTCCATTTAGTTTAATATTTATCAAAATTATATTTTAATATATAATTTTTTATCTAAAGTTAAATTTATCCTCTTCTTCTTGTTACTGCTGACATATGGGAAGCCTTAATTTGTTTAAAGTTTAGGCATGTGGCATTCCGCATTTCAATATACCTTTCACTATCATGTAAGAAAATACTACAAGAACTCCATTCTGTTGTTGTTTTGGTTTGTGGAGGGGCTTTTCTTATAAACTGTTCTTTCAGTTTGCTGTAAACTAGTTGTTGAGTCTTCATTTTCATGCACCTTGAGAATTTCTAAACAGAGGATTTCATCTATATCTTGATCTTCTTTCAATAGGTGGTCCACCAGGAAGCATTTACTTATATGGGGGATCAAAAGCAATTTGTGCAGATTGACCAGAATGATCTGTATCCCTATCTTCTTGTTAATATTGGGTCTGGCGTTGGCATGATCAAGGTAGTTATCATAAAAGTTGCTTTACTTGCAATATTTTTCCAATTTCACAATATCTAATCTTTGTTCAGCACCTCAAATAATCTTATATACTTTTATATAGGTGGAAGGAGAGGGAAAGTTTGAGCGAGTTAGTGGAACAAGTATAGGTGGAGGAACTTTCTGGGGTTTAGGAAAGCTTTTAACCAATTGCAAGAGGTTGGTTCTTTCTTTTTGGCAAATTCACTATTAATATCTATACAAACACATAGGATTACCATTAATGTACCTTCTGAATCAGTTTTGATGAGTTGCTGGAATTAAGTTATCGGGGAAACAACAGGGCAGTAGATATGCTTGTTGGAGATATTTATGGCGGAATGGACTATACAAAGGTATGACTGGTGAAGGTTTATGTCCATTTTCCTGTGAAAAATGATTCAATAATCATTCTTCTGTTATCATTCTGTGAAGTGATATTGTAAAAGTGGAGAATAATAGTATTATCTACCGGTTATTTGCTGGAATATACTTTTCTTTGATTGATAACAGATAGGTCTTTCATCCACTACAATAGCCTCTAGTTTTGGAAAGGCAATTTCTGATAATAAGGAGCGTGAAGATTACAAACCTGAAGATATTGCTCGATCACTGCTAAGAATGATCTCAAATAATATTGGGCAGGTCAGTTATGCACTGTCGGATTTTAGTTTGAAAAACATAATTTACTTTGATATACACGGAGAGCATGGTTAGATATTAGAATTAGGAGTCTTATTATATTAGGGAGTTTTATTGGACAGGCTTGTGTACTTGATCTGTATTAGTAATATACGTATGTGTCAGTTCTTGTATTATATTTTATAACAATTCAGGAATAATCCGTGTTCAAGTTGGTAGAAGAGCAGTTTATAGCCTGTCTCTTCCGACAATTAGCTACTATAATATCGGCATAATGCTAATTCTCAAAGCAACTGTGGATACAGTGGAATTTTCATTTATAAGTGTTGTTCATGGATGTCACATTGATAAAGTTTTCACCACCTCAACGGATCATAACCCATGCACTTCTGTGTGCTTTAATGCCTTTGTTTTGACGGCTCCCATCTCTAAACATAAGGTCATGTAGTATTTATCTCACGTTAATTAGTAAAACTGATTTGGCATAATTTGTTTCTTTTGTTGTTTGCTTTCAGATCTCTTACTTAAATGCCCTTCGCTTTGGGCTAAAGAGGATTTTTTTTGCTGGATTTTTTATTCGGAGGCACCCATTCACAATGGACACATTATCTGTTGCTGTTAATTTCTGGTGAGAGGGACATGGACCTGTTGTTACTTATCACAAAACTAATGAAATTGCTGCCATCTTAGTCTAAAATCCATCTCTTAAAATAATTGTATAAGTTTTGAGTGCTGCTGCCCCAAAGAAATACCATTCACAAACATTGTATTCAGAATGATCAAATGGAAGATCATTTCCAGCATTTCACCTAGGAACATAAGCATGTCAACAGAAGCAAGTATTTATCGGTGTTGGTTCAATTTTCTGCACATTCAGTGTGGGTTTGCATTTGCATGATGCTATAATTATGATAGGATTTCTTAGCTTGCTTCTAACATAACTATTAGAAAAACGGACGTATTTAATCCGTTTATTTTTTCAGGTCTAAAGGTGAGGCTAAGGCAATGTTTTTGAAGCATGAAGGGTTTCTTGGAGCTGTTGGTGCCTTCATGAGTTCGGATAAACATGGCCTAAAGGAATTATTGGTCAATCAAATGGTTCAAAGAAGTCCCGGCAAGTTATCCTTTGCTGAGGATAAAATACATGATACCCCAGATGGGGAGTTCAATGGAGATGAAAGTATAGAGTGCAGTGTCTATGCAGCGTAGATGAAGAAATTCTTCGTTGCATTCATGACTTGTAGTTGTAACTGTTATAATTTGGTTCTGTAAAATCGTCTAAAATATTAATTATAACAGATGATTGACCTAGAATTAAAGGAAAAGAGAAAATTAGAATGACAACTCAAGTAAGTTGCCGTTGTTTCGCACTTTCAGCAGATGCATTGTGTTGTATAACAGCAAATGATTTGTAGGAATACCTCAGCTGTAGCCTTGTTACTCATTTAGTGATAACCCTTTTTGTGTTTCTTGGATTTTTTTTTTTTTTTTTATTATTGTTATTTTGGATAATGTTATGATATCCTTAAATGAGGATATGATTCTTAGCATTCACTAATCCAGAGTATTTACAGTTAAAAGTATTTTTTCTTTTCTACTTTCTGGAATCTTATAGTCATGACTAGTCAATCATCCCATGACAACGGCCTCATATTTCAAATATACTGGACCATCTAACATCAAGAAGATTAATCCCCACCCCCTAAATAAAAAAGAAAAAGAAAAGAAAAGAACTGTAATGTCCTGTCCTGTTACGCTATTGGGTAAGTCAACGAAGGTTAACAAAAAGATCATCCAGTTGGAATCCAATGCAATGAGCTGAAATTGGTGACTCTTCTAACATTATGTAATAAAATGCATACATCAGAATCCTTTATAAAGTAAACTGAATTACTATGTAGCAATCTAGACAGATTGCTTAAAAATATAAAAATAAAACATAAGAAAATCCCTTAGCCAGTGAGTAATCTTTTTTGACTCAGCTTGGCATTTTTTCTACGTAAAAGCCATCTTTCTTTAATGTCACGTGTGTTAGCAAACAGGTCCACATTTCTACCAGGTTTTCCCTGAAGCTCCTCTCCCTTAGACATTTCAACCTCGTATCCTCCTCTTATTCTAGCAGTTTCTGCAAGCAGATCAGTGATAAGCATCTCAGTTGTTCGGGTGGTAATTCCCCTCAAATACCATGATATGGGAGGGGGCGGCACAATGGCTGGTTGAAGTATTTGTTGCAGGCTAACTTTAGATCCAATTCTTCCTTTGCCTCTTGTACATGCATTGTAATCCTCTTTTGTCATGGGTTTAAAAGGAAGGCACATTGCTTCATCAACAAATAAAGGCTCTACCTTCCAGCAGCCCTCAAATTTTTTCATGAATCCAGTCTTGGTTTGCTTGAACTTCATCTGACAAAATTATATAGCAGTATGTAAGACATACATCAACATTTGTTGGATGAAAAGCAGGAGCTTGTCAGTGTTCATTCACACTCTCTTAAGTCATTGTCTAGCAACCTTTTGTCCATAAAATTTGAGGCACATTTTCTTCAATTTTAGATAGTCGAACAAAATTCTAGTAACATTATGCTATTAGGATGGTACATTTTCAGAAACAGTGTGTCTGCTACCAAAAGTCAAATTTCAAGTGAATCAACCAAACACCAAAGCAAAATAAATAAATACCTAACTAAATAAATAAAAATTCCACTTAAATAAGGGAGACTTGGAGTAAAGATAATATTTAACAATGGTGAGCATGAAACACAAATACCTCTGATTTAAAGTGTCCCGATGTTAGACACGTTTTTTATATTGATACTTCCTCAATTCATTAAATGTATAATTTAAAAATTATATTTTGTCTTGTCGAACACTTTAGCGACACCACCATACAGCTTGAACACTTAAGTTGATACCTTCGTATGGATTAACACCCACCAATATTCAAGAATGAAGAAACCCAGTACTTGTAAAACGATGTCTCAATATTCTTGAGACTCACTATTATAGGAAAAGGAAAATATATAAGAATATCCAAATATTGATTATGAATTTTAATCTTTTCTTATGGTACTCATATCTCATTTGAGTATCTCTCTTTCTCTCTCTATAAACTGATAGATAGACAGACAGACAAATAGATAAGAAAGATTGATTCGTGGTGTTCCGGTATGTGTTGAAGTCTGTTTCATAGATGGCAAGTTTCGGTGTACTCATAATTATGCATAACAAACATGGAATCCACCAATTATCTATAAGAGGAATAGAGACTTACAGAGTGGTCATTTCTATTTTGATCTACCATAACATTAATTGAAATAGTCCCGGACCACCAAAGAAATTTCCAAATGGCTGCTTGCTCAAGATCAACCACTTGCCTATGACCCTCATCAACCAAAACGTTTCTGGATAGTACTTCCTGACCAAGAAAGACATCACCAAGTTGATATGCAGGCCTTTGGGAGGCTGCTAAAACAATGCAGCTGACAAATTATACAAGCTAGAAGTTCAATATATATATATATACTCAAGAAGAAACACAATGTTCAATCAATGTTTTTAAAGTATTTTTTTGAGGAAGGTTGTAACCAAACACACTTTAAGCATAATTATGAATGAATTTAAGTCACCTACTTTGATATTTTTGAAAACTCTCCTATTGTCAGGATCTGTCACTATATTATATACTGCATCAGGAGGCAGCCCAACATCAACTTCTACATTGAGGTTGCAAAGAGAGCCTTTGGGAACAGTCACCTGCCAAAAAGAACATTATATTACATAAATATACTGCAACAGACATAGCTATTTCCTTAATAATTTCAAATATTTAGATTCATTAAGTGTGACAAACTGGATTTTTACATCCTCTAGGACCCATCTGGCCTAAAAGTGCTACCCATTCCTTGTTTGGTCAAGCAGTTTTTCTGCCACTCATTAAGTATACTCTAGATTTCATCTGCATACAAAACATTCATCTTGAAGGCATATAAAAGTTAACTATATAGTATTCTAAAATCTTAATAGAATTGAATAAACCTCAATTTACAAAAACTTTAGAGGTATCTTAGTAAGTTTTAGATCCAGAAGTTAGAAACAGTCTCCAAGGCAAGCTAGTCTACCTACAATCTGAAGCAACTAAACCAACCTTTTCCAAAGAAAACCGAACGTTCCCATTTAACTGCTCCTCACCTTTATTACCGGCGGCTTGTCAACCCAAGAAGGATTTTCTCTCCATGCTTGCACTTGCTCGTTCAGTTCATCTTCAGAGGCATTAAAAGAGATTTTCCCGTTTCTCTGTACCGATCTGACCAAATTCATTCCATCCTGTTTTGCCAATCTACTAAGCCGTGACTGTAGTCAGAAAACAATTATGTTGTTAAGTTCAAAACAGGTTCCTAGTAAATTTTAAGCCACAAGATAGCTGATTAACCTTAACAACACTTTGGAGCTGCCCAAAAAATTTAGATATTGGAGGATCTAGTCTCCTTGGGAACCCATCTTTCTCATTCTTCCTGACATTTAAGCCGAACTTTGTCACCTCTAACTCATCCATCATAAGAACCTGGAATTCTTCTAAAACGGTTAGGCTAATTCATATTATAAATACAATACTATTTTCCCGAGTCCATTTGAAGTCAATTCTGAAACACAATGTTCTACCATAAAGTTCCCAAATTGATTGAGGTAATACTAATGACCTTCACAGAATCTAGCTTTCAATCAGCAATAAGTTGGCTCAGGAATTTTCAATATAAGAAAGACAGGACAAATGTTCAAGTAATAAAAGGAATCATAAATCAAATGTTATCAAAAGTATTAAAATTGATGAAGACAAATTGCCACAAGCAAACTAAGCACAAAATGCACCACGCATCAAATTCTACAGGAAATCAAAACATTGAACTCAACCCAAATTTAGAACAAGCATGACTCATCAGAAAAAACAAGGAAAAAGCAAAGTAATAGGGAGCAGAAGGGAATTCCAATAGCTCCAAAAACTGAATATTGAATGAATAAAGCTGATTTTGCAGAAGAGATTCAAAGTGAACTTACAGGGTAAAATATCTACAATCACCCCGCGGTATATTCCTATAAGCCAAACCCAGATCTTAGCATGAAACGGTGGAAATGGAAAAGATGATTTATTCAATTACATATCATTGTTTTTTATTATATATTTTTGAAAAGTATGAACGATGGAGAAAGAGGATAAGAAGAGGAACACGTGCAACTATTGTTCAAGTTCATTAGTTAGCCCGTCAAACAGGAGTTCAAACATTGACTTTTGGACGGTGGGTTTACATTCGACCCGCACTTTATTTCTTAATACATTTTTAAAACGTTTTTGGTATTCAATAATTTTAAATTTAATTAAAATATATTGACAGTTTGACTACGAATTAATATAATTATTAGTTTAAAAAGTATATTATATATTCTAATTAATACATAGTATATTTTTTTATTTAACAATGCTTTAAAATTAAGTTCATAAATTTTTAAAAGTTATTAAAAAATAAGTGTTATTCTTTTTTAATGGAGCATTAATTGAATTTTTTTATTTTTAATCTGTTATTTATTTTTATTTTTGAAATATATTTTCATTAAAAAAATTTCTTTATCGAGCAATATCCCTTTTATCTGCTGATTTTTTTCACACTCTTTTATAACAAGGATTTTTAATTTGATATTTTAATTATCAAAATTTTTTTATCCTTTTAAAGTAACAAACTCAATAAAAATTTATAATTTTAGAAGTTCTAAATACCAAAAGCTTGAAAAAACTAACATAAGATTCGTGAAAAGAACATTTGATAATCGATTTTTTTAAAAGGAAATTCATTTTAAAAAAATTACAGAACTTTTAATGATGAAGCATTTAATTAAGGCTAATAGTATATCAAGTGGTATATTTTATTTATATTAATTTTAAAAAATAATCAATTATTGAATGCTTTTTAAATAATTCACAAAAAACAAATAATAATTTAAAAAAACTAAACTATACTTAAGTTATAAAATGATCAGGATCTTTCTAACTCCAACAGAAAAATGAAGTAGATAATTTCATCATTAAAATTTATTAAAATATTTATATAATAAAGTTTTATATTAAAATAATTTAATTGTAATGGGTGAGATTTCATGGGATGAAAATATCACTCCTTTTAAAATATGTTGGTTTTGTAACTCTTGTCATCCACGAACTCAAAAGTAAATGAAAGGTTTGGTGTCGATACGATGCTGTGTTGATGCGTTGGAGGCTTTTATTCCTCACAATTCAGAGTAACCTTAGCGGGCTACACGGTTCTGTGCACAGGCCGGCCTGGCAAGCTGAATAAATTTATTTTTGCTGTTTTTCTTTATTATTATTATTTTTCTTAACAGACCATTTTTTTATTATTTTTATAACAACATATCATTTTTTTTTGTTATTTTTAGTGTTTATAATAGGTTATTTTAAGCTGTTAATAACAATTTAATAGGCCACTTATTTTTTTTTTGTTATTTTTGTAACAATCATTTTTTTATTTTATACATATAATAAGTTTAATATATATATATATATATATAAATGGTCAGAAGGATTTGGTCAGAAGGGAGAGCTACCTGAGCCCACAGATTAAACTAGTTAAAGTCTTATTTAGTATTGAGTTTATTTAAATCAAACTAATATGCTTCGAAGTAATTTTGAGCCTTATTTTTTAAAATCAAAACTTGTTTATTTAACAAATTTTTTGGACCAAGCCCTTCTGACCAACCTGTTTTGTCAGCTCTAATATGTTTACTAACTACTAAAATTTTGTTTGAAAATTTGGAGAGTAAGAAAAAATGTTTAAAAGGCGAAGAAGCAAGAGAAAAGAAAAAATAGTTTATACAAGACTCTCCAAAATTAAAAAAACTTAAAAATATAAAAAATTATAAAAGTTTTGGAACCTTTATAAATTTTCTCTCTCTCATCTTAAATCTTTCAAAAAAATATAATAATTACATAAGCTTTATTTGTCTTTTTTTCCTTCCAAAAACTAATTCTCAAAAAAAGTTTAAATGATGCAAACAATAATGGCTTACAATTAACACATAGAGACATATAATCTTGATGATATTTTTCTTCTTGATTATGTCAATACACTTCTTTCTCTAGTACTTAACGAACATAAAAATTTATACTTTGTCAATAGGTTGATTAATTCTCATAATAAGCTTCACGATATCAAAGCATGTAACATGTAAGACATGTGCAAACTGTGCAAGGTCTAAAATAAAAATAAATCATTAGTGAAGGTCTAAGTTTCTTGGTAGTTATGTTATAGCCTACAAGTTAACTAGGAGTTGTTTGTTTAAAAATTAGAACATTAATTTTTTTTTTAATGAACATGTTTGAGAATTTGGTGAGTCAAAGACATTTATAGTTTTATGAATATAATTTTCTTTTGGTTATTTCTAAGAAGGAAGATCTTTAATGGTCTCAAATGGAGTAACATAATAAAAAAAAAATAGAATTATGTCCACGTGATATTCACTAACATAACATATATTGTTTTATATCTACATTCCTAAGTTCACAAAGTTAAAATTTGTAAATTTTCAAAATAGCCAAACCCAAAATATAATTATAAAAAAATAATTCAAAAAAATAATGTGACTAACTTGAATCAACCCTATTTCGAACTAAATCGTTGTTCACTTAAATTGCAGGGACAACTCCCATTATTCACTTCGAAGAGTACTGAAAGAGAATACAGTAGCAGGAAACATTGAGAAAGATGAATGACAAAAAAGAAATTTATTTAGATAATGAGAATGAATAATGGTGAAAATGGTGGTAGTAAGTACATAGAACTGAGAAAGATTTGATGGATGCATGTAGACGAGGAAGAAAATTTTTTGTTGGGAATTTAATATTACAAATCAATTAACAAAATATTGATCTACAGATCAACTTGAAAAGTGATTATATGTATAATCACTTTTTAAGGATGTTGTCCACTTTATCATAAAGTGATTTCATGTGTTAACCACTCTTTAAAACAAAGATTATAGAAATTAGTTATATCTTAACTGTCTTACAAGTGAGTTTCAAAGAAGAGTTTTCTATTAAACGCTTCTCAAAAAGTATAATCTAGTATAGTGTATTTAACATTTTACTCTTAATATTTCTTAAACTATTTAATTGATCCTTATACCTAATAAGTATTTTTTTAACAAATATTCTTATCCATTACTAATATAATATTATAATGCATGCAACATTTAATTTTTATAATTTATTAAGAGTTTATTTCAAAATCAATAAATCCATGAAACTTAATGATTTGAGTTATAAAAAGAAGTGACAAATTAAATTTACATAACCTATAATAATCTATGGTATGCTGATAATTAGAACATTATCAATTAATGCTTTCTTAATTTACAATAAAACTTTTTATATCATCATTTAGTTATAAATTATTGTATTAATAATAATAATAATTTATTTATGAAATAATTAATATAAAAATTACATTTACAATATATTCTAAATTAGTTGAGAGTGTAGAATTTTTTACACTAACAGTAAATTAAAATTAAACTTTTAATATATTTGATACAAATATATAATAACCTTATAAGCATTTAATATATGAGACCATTTGTAACATCTTGTTTTGTATTTTTTTTTTCAAATCCAATATCTTTAACATAACTTCTATGTATAATACCAAATGATAATTAAATATATAATAATAAAAATCAGTAAAAAAATCAATGAAACTCTTGATTAAAATATGTATAATATTATTAATTATGTACAAATATAATAATAACATTTTGGTAACATCAATTACAATTTTTTTTTATCTCATTTACTTATTATTTTATTCTTCAAGAAAATATTACTAAATCACTTTTAAATATTTAAAAATCATACGAATATACAGGTTTACAATATTCGTGTTAAGTTAGTAAAAAGAATATTAATAGTCTACATTATTTTTCATTAAACTCTAGAAAAATCATGTTAAATATTTACTGTTGTTTGAATAATTTTATTATAAGTTAATAATAATTTAATTTAGTATATTTATTTGTGACATCTTCTTTATGTTTTTTCTTTAAATTTAGTACATTTAATTTGATATTTTCTAAATAATAATGGACATTATGCTAAAAAATTAATGAAATTCTTAACTAGATAAGAACCCATTGTTTTGTGCAGGAATAGTAATAATAAATTTATAATGATATTAATTATGATTTTTCTGTTTCAAATCAATCTCATTTGTTTATTATTTAATGCTTCAATAATATTTTATTAAATAAGTTTTTGCATGTTTAAAAATTATATGAATAAAACAATCAATGTTAAATAAAAATTTAGTAGTTTATTTGTTTAAAATACATTAGGTAATTTAGACTAATAACCTTCTTAATTATATACTCTTTAATTTATTACTAACCAATCAATATAAGACTTTATTATCTTAACAATCTAAGTTAAGTTCATCTAACATACTTGAATTTTAACTATTTTTTTAGTTGAGTACTTCAAGTTTGTACTTTTACTTTTGAGTTTTTTTTTTTCGGTTGTTTGAGCTTGTGCTCTTTTTTCATTAATTTTTTAATGTTAAGATTTTTTTTTGGGTTGACCCACCTTCTCTTAAAAAAGAAACAAAAATTTGAACTTTTTTTAGGTGAGCTCTAATATGTAATAGGATTTATTCAATTTAAGATTCGGGAAAGAGTGAATTTTTAAGCTTAAATGATTTATTTGTCCAAATATTTTATGTAATTTAAGCACATAATACTTTTTTACTTACCTTTTAATTAGTTGTTAATTTATTTTAAAATTTTTTATATCACAAGTCTAGGTGTTTTTGGGCTTGACTGTTTTGGACCTTGACTTTGATACGGTTTTAGGAATTTTAAATGTGGATCACATCTAAGATTAAGAAAGAGTGTGTTTTAAGATTAAGAGAGTTATTGTTTTTTTTTTAAATAGTTTTATGATTTAAAAAAATTCAATATAAATTTATATTATGTTTTATTTTTTAAAACAGCAATCAAACAACATACTATAAGTTTTTTGTTTTTTACACTGCCTTAAGTAATTTATACTCATGTCTTTCTTGCTTATATGTCTTTAATTTGTTGTGAACTCATTAATGTAGAACTTTATTATCTTAAAACTTCTCTCAAGTTCAGCTAGCTTTCAACCTGATTGTGACATTTTATTTTATTCTTTTAACTAGGGCTTATACCATAATATTGGATCTTTACCTCAACTCTTGTTTTCTTTTTTTGTATTGTCTATGCTTGTGCTTCTTCTTTTTTTTTTTTTTATTTTAATTCAACAGGTCGAATTAATTTATATATTTTTTAGCTTGGCCTTCTTTTTCCTTTTTATATTAGTTTTAGGCCTTTAATTATTTTTTTTGAATTGAGTACTAGTATCATATTTAAATTTAAATGTAAACCTAATCCAAGCTTATGGAAGAATGAACTTTAAGCTTGACCAATTTATTTATCTAAAATGCCTTAAGCAATTTAGACTCTTGACTTTCTTACTTGTATATTTTTTAATTTGTTGTTATCCTACTAAAGTGAAATTTTATTATGATTATATGATTTTATAATTTGTCAGAAGATTTTCATATAGTTAAAAGAATTAAATTAATTTTTTTAAAAATAAAATTGACTAGTTTAAACCAGCTTTCATCGTCAAATTTTTTGAACATTTTTCATGAACTTTTAAACTTGTTTAATTTGACTCTCCAAATGGTCTTTCAACGTTGATGTTTAAACTTGAAAATGAACACTAATAAAGACAAACTTGGCAAAATAGAAAAAAGTTGGAATTGATTATTTTAGAGATCTTTCACAAGTACTTCTCACTGTTGTGAAGCTACTACCATACTGAGCTACATATGTAACCCCTTGACAAAAGTTTCGGAGAAAAAGAAAATACCCTTTAAAAGGAATACAAAAGATTAGAATGGTGGAATATACCTTATAAGCAGAGTCGAAGTAGGAATTTTAATGGCTTTAGCACTGTTTGAGGAAGGACTAAATTATAGAAATGAAATGATTTGCTATTGAAATGCAAGATGGAAGATAGGGTAACAGAAGGCCCCCATAACTAATGCAAGAAGATCCATCAATGGGAGCATTTGTCATTAAGCAAAGTCATTTGTTGAGTTGTAAAAAATAAAATAAAATTCAACCGGCGAGTTCTAACTCTAGTCCACGTGAGACAGAACTAAAAAGTCTGACAAATCAAAATTTATATAGACTAAAACAGTCACAAAGTTAGGGTTTTATAGGTTCAACAAATTTATTTATTCTTACAAAATTTAAATACGAGAAAATTTGATATGATTGTGATAATTATTAGAGTATAAAAATATTTATTTCATATAATATTTTTTATTATAAACCTGTAGTAAACCAATAAAATTACTTAAAAAAATAAGGAAGGATAAAATTTGTAAATATTAAATATTTATAATAATTGTTGTCATTAAATAATATTAATGAAAATATAATTATTTATTATTAAATTACTTTACATATATATTTTTTAATTTTTATATGTATTATTGATAATTATTAAATAATTGTACCAATATTTTTATATAATTTTATAAATAATTTTAAAAATATTATTTAAATATTAGCTATAAAATTTATGTTATAAAATTTTTATATTATTATTTTCTTATATTAAAAATATTAAAAAATTTAGTTTTTTTTTGTAAAAATCATATTTTATTTTTGTTGAGATATCTTATGTTCAATAAATAAAATCACGATAAATACATAAAGTTGACAATAAAAAATAACACTGACCAAAAAAATAAATAAATATGATAAAACTATAGACATAGAACGGACATAGAAAATAAATACAATAAAAATTTATAAATTTAACTCTTGACTTATTTTTATATAATAAAATTTATTTTTAAATTAAAATAACTTGTGTTTTTAAATTTTTATCTTAACAAAAAATTTATGATAAAACTTAATATAAATTTTTTTCACTTAATATAAATTTTTAAACTCAATATAAAATATATAATATAGTGACAATAATAATAATAATAATTAAATTTTAAAAAATAGAATAATTATAAAATATTTAATTTTTTTGTTTCATTAATTTATTATTTTAAACAAATAAATATACATAAAATTATGTAATATAGAAAATATTACTTATACGATAAATTAAAATACATATAAATTGATAAATTAAATAATAATTTAATTTTTAATTTATATTTGTATTTATTGATTTATACAACTATATATTTTTTATACAATTTTTTTTAATAAACAATCTATTTATATCTATATATTTATGTAAAATTCATTAAAAATAATAATTTAGAATTTTATATATTTATATTTATATTAAAGATAATCATACCATGTATAAATCTAAACTATAATGAATTCATAATTATTAAAAGTCATTAAAAAATATCAAAACATACTAGAATTGATTAAATTTACTAATTGATTAAAAATTTCATTAAAAATACTATTTTATTAGTTAATTATTATATATTTAAAAATATTTATTAATTAAAATCATAAATTATTAACGTGTCATATTAAATTTAATTAAAAAATTAAACAAATGTAAAAATTAAATAATTATATTTGATATTATTTTTTATGATAAAATTTTAATATATTGAATAAATACTTTTTTATTTTTTAAATTTTTTTTATATTTAAAATATAATTTTTAATTTATTTAAATAAAATAATTTAATAAATATTATAAATAAATGATATAATAATCATTAATTATTTTCTAAAATAGGTGAACTAATCCATTCCTAATCTTGATCCTAGTCTACCATGTTTTTTATATTGGAGCTTAAAGTTAAAATAAAATCACTAATTATAAGAAAAAGAAAATGGAGATATACAGTGGGCTTTGAAAAAATAGAGCTACCCAGTGGACTAAGTCAAGTGAAATTTAAAACTTTAGTAGCCTGTTTTGACAGCTCTAGTCATCTATGGCATTGAAAAGTCTAGGATTATTTCTCCACATCAGGGAGGATCCCATATATGAACAATATCTCAATTTGGGCTAGTGTCTGCTATAAATCTGTACAAGCTTTGTAGTAAAGTCACCCGTTAATGCATTTATAAGATATGGTTGAAATATTAAAGCGGGATGGCAAAGAGTATAGCCACAATTTTTGGCCGAGTAATAAAGAAGGAACAAAGACTAAACCATATATTAAAGATTTATTCAAATTATTTTACATAACTCATAACCACAAGACATACTAGAAAAGGCCTTTAACTGCCATCACACGCAAGAAAACTACACACAATTAATCACCAAAATATAACAAGCAGATTTCAGGCTTTAGTGCAAACTTCTCCATCACAAACCCATCCATCTTTGGACTTGACTTCTTCCTTGTCATCATCTTTGCTACCTTTGTCCTCCAATGCACATTTTGGATGGAGATCAAAGTCACACTCTTCACAGTAGTAAGACCATAAACGTCCCTCTTCATCACAACCATCACAGTTATAAATCCTGCGGCGCGTCAACACAAGTTCATGCTTGTGTGTTTCATCCGTCAACTTCTCAGGCCACCCCTTCCTAGTCTCTTCATTTTCTGCCTCTATTTGTTTTAATCTCTCCGGAGTGAAAGGATAAGCATCAGCCCCATAAAGTGCAACGAGATGTCGCGCTTCTGTTGTGACAGTCTGGCCACTTGATCCAATGGCCACAAGCATGGGGATGCCAGATACCTTGAATTTGCGACTCAGGTTTTTCTTCCTTGAGTCACCAAAGGGAAGTGCCAACCATGGCATTCCTGCAAAGAATTCATCAAAGGAGGCTTGGTCTCTGTCACTTGAGATGAAAATGACTTCAAATGCATTGTCCTTTGCCTTAATCTTATGATATGCATCAATAAGTTTTGGAAGGAAGAGACGGCATGGAGGACACCAGTGGGCTGAGAAGTAGAGGAGGATGATCTTCCCCTCTAATTCAGTCACTGGAATCTGAAATGGGAATTAGTACAAACTTGTTAATATCACGATAAAGAGTGAGAAGGAAAGGAGAGAAAAATATATGATAGAATGCTGCTACAAATAAAGGTAAAAGGGAAAGAGAGAATGCACTTAACATAATTTCTGTTATACAAAGTTATACCTTCACCCCATCTTTCGCAATGACAAAATCTAGATCTCCAGATACCAAAATTGATTCAAGGGTTTGAGCTGCCTCCTTGGCCTTGATTATTTCATCGAGCTCGACAAACTTTTCAGGAGTGAATGGGTATGCAGCAACCCCATGATCCTCAATAGCCTCTGCAACATTAGAATGAAGGGTTTTCCCATCTGGTCCAATAATAACCAAAGTGGGGAGGGTTGAAAGCTCAAAGTACCGAATCAGCTTTTCACAGGTTTTATCCTTGAAAGGCAAGGATAACCAAGGCATACTTTTTAATCCTTCCTTGAATGAATTTTCATCATCATCAAGGGGTATCAACACAATCTCAAAGTTCTCCCCCTTGGCCTTCAGCTTATTACAAACCTCCACAAGTTGTGGAGTAAAGTCAATGCATGATCTGTGAGAAGACAAATAGAAATACAGACCAACTGTCTTGCCTTCAAGCTCAGCCACAGGTATCTGTGTGTACATGAAAGTAAAAGTCAAATTTGGAAATGAAAATGTTTCAAGGTAAAAAAACAAGACATTAACCAAAGGAAACTACTATCTCATACAAACAGAGTGAAGTCACTGGCTTACTTTGTTTCCATCAGATGATATAACAAAGTCACGGGATGCAGACACCAATACAGATCTCAAGGACTGATTCATCCTAGCTTTCTCCTCTTGATCTCTTAACTCTTGGATCCTTGCCGATGTAAAAGGGTATCCTTCAACTCCATACTCGCGGATAATGTCAAATCCATCTTCAGTAACAACTTTCCCAGTTTCATCAAGTAATGCAAGATGGGGAATCCCCCTCACTTGAAACAATTCATCAAGGCGACTACGAGTCTCTGAGTCAGAAAATGGGATTGCAAGCCATGGCATCTTGGAAAAGTAACCTTTAAAGGATTCATCATCCTCATCAGCTGTGACAAAAACAACCTCAAAATCACCTTTGGAAGCCACTCCATTGTACACCTCCACCAAAGTCGGTGTGAATCTTCGACACGGACCACACCATGATGCCGAAAAATATAAACCAAGTTTCTTTCCCTTCAAGCTGTCAATTTTAACCTGTGAATTCAAGATATAAGAAATGAAACCACAAGTTTCCACCAGTATGAGCAAAACAAGTCACCACTTCAAAAAAATGAAATTAGCTGCAACATTCAGAAGAACACTACATCATCCAACCATAGGCAAACTAGGGTCACACTTAGCTCATCCAATCATAGGCAAATAACAACAATCACCATTCCATTTATCATATTTCGAATGATCAAGAATGGAGCGACCAATTACAATTCCATTCAACAAAGTCCTCTCTTTTTCCCATTACTTCTGCATTAAAAACTTCCAAGGGCCAACGCCCAAATCATAAGAATTACAATTTTCGCATCCACAGAAACAGGAAATGCAGAGTTAACATCAGATACAAAATCTAGAAAAAGGAGTAAAAAATTGTTACATATGCGACTAAGTCACTAACCAAAAATCAAGTATCAAAACCATGAAAAACCCGTTCCCTCAAAATAGAAAAACATGGAAGAGCGGAAAAAAGAAAAGATTCTTTTGAACCTCTAAGAAATGGGTTCCCTATACCAAACCATAAATAAAAGCAGAAAAAAAATGAAAAAGAGAACGGGAAATTGGTACCTGATCGCCGTTGTTACGAAGAAGAAAGTCCCTCTCCGGAGAAGAGAGAAGGGAATGAACATCGTGTGTGACATCCACAGATTCTGCCATCTTAGTCACTAACAACTTGGCACTCACAACACAACACAAATAGCGTGGACTACAACCCCACTCGCAAAGACTATTTATAGACAAAAAACCCAAAACAGCAAGCTAGGAAAATTTGCTACCTTTCTCGATTTTTCTTGGTGCCTAAGAAAATCATATTGGTTTAACTTTTTCTTTTTTTCAACTTTCACGCAAAAGAATATATATATTTTTAACGTGTGTTATTTTTTACGGTCAATTTTTATTAAAAATAATAAAAATCACATAATTTAATATAAAAACTTAAATTTATCTTTAAATATACTATAAAATTTATCGATTTTGTTTTAAACATTATTTTTATAAATTTAAATTAAATTTTAATTTATTTTATCTAACTTGATAAAATTTGTCGTTTGATGAATCAAAATGAGTTAAATAATAATTGTCAACTTAAAAAATAAATAAAATTCCTACTGAGAATAAGTCTAAATAATTACTCAGATTAATTAATGAATTTTGCTATATGAATTTTTATAATTAATTTTGGAATTAAAATAATACTTTTTAATTTGTCAAAAAAAATTAAGAAAAACGTTTTAATAGAATAGTATATTTAATTTAATTAAAACATGAATAATAAATTCTAAGATACATATGTAGGTAGATATTCATAGATGCAGGTATAAATATTAAAGCTGTTACCTTCTTAATAAGAACACTGTTTTGAATGTGGGTATGAATGCATATACTTTAGTATTTCATTTAATCCCATTTATTACCAAGTCTACTAATAGCATATGTTTTAATACACTACAAAATCATATAAAATAAAAAACTATCAAATAATGTAAATTCCAACTCTGTAGATAATCTGCTACAGTCCAATTGCTAATCCATAGTAACGTCAAAAAGCTGTGTCAGGGACTCAGTGGGAAAGCAATGGTCGGCCGAGCAGCGAAGAAGCATTAATGGCAACAAAAAAGAACAAAAGAAGTAAGCATGACGTGTCATTGTTTCATTGGCAAAATGCCAGACTAATAAAAAATAAAAAATAAAACATATAAAAGGTAATAAATTATAAAACGACTTGCCATGACTTCACAAGGCAACTAATCTTTGGACCACTTGACAAGGAAAATAGCAAGACATTTCCCTTCTTCTTTTCGTGTCCGTGTTCTGAGTGAATAACTTGATCAACAAGGATAATGCTCGCTTTTAATCCATGTCTATTATGGCATGTACTAGAAGAAATCCAATGTGAAACACAACTACAAAGAGACTGTGAAATAGAAGTGATCAAATTATTATGGATTGAATGCAAAAATTCATAACCTTTGCGTGCTTCGCCCTTCCCAACGTTACGAAAGGTTCCTTGTCCTACCTAGATAAAGAACGATTTATTAGAGAATATAACATCGTAAGGATAAGCATTGAGTAAAGCACTTAGAGAAAGTAAGTTGAATATAAAAGAAGGAATAAAAAATAAATTATGAAGAATTAAATTTGGCAACAACTGAATAGAACCAATGCCGTTAGGTGCAGTAAGGTGCAAAAACACATGTTGAAAGAAACAAATATGATCAGTACATTTTGAATCAAGAATCTATGAGTAAGGAAAATACAAGAAGGGACTAAGTATTGGCTAACAGTGTTGTGACCTTGAATAAGACTTTTCTTACCAAGTTGAAAAATGTGAGGGTCATTCTGAATTTACCTTGAATAATTTTTTTATCTTAAAATTTTCTTTGTTAACGAGTAAAAGTATAATAGAATTGTGGTACATAATACATTTGTATAATTTTTTTTAAATCATATATTTATATAAAAATAACAATAATTTTATTATATCTCATACATTATATATATATATATATATATATATATATATATATATATTACTAATTTATACTAATTAATGATAAGCGACTCCTTTTATATCATTAATAATTTTTTGATAAAATTTTAACAAATTATAATTATAGACTAAATATGAATTACCTAGTTAAAAATGAAGTTTGATAGTCTCAAGGTCTCTCAAAGAAACTTCAAACTCCCTTCTTTTTTGCCAAGGGTTTCCTATTCTTGCAAGTTCTTATGGCTATGCTTGAGAAAGCCTATTTAGAGAAAAGGATCCAATGACAAGAGCCCTTTGATAACTTTTAAAACAAGTATTTATAAAAAATGAAAAATAAATAACTTTTTTTATAAGATAAAAATAACTTATACTTCTCAACTTTTAAAAGATAAATGATATATTTTTTTAAAAAATAAATAAACATAAGTTGATTTAACTTATATATATATTTTATTTTACAACTTACTTCTTGTCTTCTGTAGGTGCTTATTGATAAATTTATCCAAAATAAGTCTAAGAAAGTGAAAATGGATGAAAGGCTTAGGATTGACGAATCTAAAGATTGCATGGATTACAAGCATTTGGGTAAGAAATGTGTGAATCTATTAATATTTGAATCTTCTAAAAACTGTTTCTTTTTATTAGAATAAAGTAGTAGAATAAGAAAGTTAGAATTTTATTCTAAAAGACCAAAAGATTATCCATTCTGTTATGGAAGATCTCAAAACTTATCGAGATTTTGACGAAATTTCTAAGCATATTAACTCAAAATAATCTTGTATCTAAAGACAAAAATATCTTTGAAAGATTATGAAGGACAGTGCAATCCTTAAACATATGCTTTAATTATAAAATCACTAGGTAAAAGAGTGAGTTTTAAATATATGTTATACAAATAAAAAAGTTTATGGGTCAAAATAGGGAAATTAGAGTATTAAATCTTAATAATTTTTTTTTTGAGGAACTTTGATTAATTTTGAACCATTATCTTTTGATCGTACTTTAGAGGTCTTTATTTAGACTAGAGAATTAATCTATTAAAACAAATCATGGATTGAGTTAGAATACATTACCTCTCTTTAAGACCTTTATAATAATTTTCTTTGGCGGATAGGTTCTTGAGAAGTATAACGAGAATGAGATTAGGATAAAATTAAACTTATTTTTATCGAATTAGTTAGCTTCCTTTTTTGAATGGTATCTTTAATTTAAAATTTGATAATCATGTTGAGTTGTGAACTAATTCAGAAGAAATCATAAAGGTATCTTTGACACATGTTATCCTAGTTGTGATTTGGCCTTAAATCAATAATTCATATTATTAGATATTTTTTTTGGCAAATTTTCTTTGGTCTACTTTAATCAAACTAAATTGTTGGTCATTTTTCTTTAGTTTGAGTCTTAGTAAGTGGTTTAAAATAATTTAGAATAATTTGATTGACTTCAAACATATTATATATATATATATATATATGTATATATATATATATATATATATTTATTTATTGGTGTAGCCATTTATATGTTGTGAAATAACAAAAACTCTTAAATTTTTAAGAATAAATTTGAGGACTATAACTCCTTATCTACCCATATTATGAGTTATATGAACTATATTATTTTTAATTTTGTTTCTATAAAAATAGTATTTTGCTCATATCAGCATGGTCTAAAATATAATTACTTGGATTTCTCTTTGAAGGTGGATGGTTTTGTGTGTAACAAGGCAACATGTGAGAGGCTTGTTTTTAGATGCTTAGGGAAAGTTTAATTACTTTGTTGAAGGAGGATGCCTTGGCATTGAGATTCCCAGGATGATTCTATAATTCTTTGTTTTGTCTTGAGCCTTAGATAAGCACTTCCACTCTCTTATTCATTTTTTACATCGATTCACTTTAAAATCAAGGTAGAAAATGCATATTTTCTAAATTAGTTATTAATCATTTATTATATCGACTATATTTACATCGGTCAGAGAATAATGTAAAAAGATATTTTTAACGTTTTAAACCCCTTTTTTTCATTAGTGGCACTAACTAAAAAAGAAAATCCAATGTAATTCCCATGCTTATAGGTAAGAATATGAAAAAGTTTGGATTAACAAACAAAGCCAAAAGCCCAAAGGATTATTTTAACAATCATGCATATGTTAATTGTGTTGTTACAACTGCTCAAATTATTTTTTTAAAAAAATATTTTAAAAATTATGAAAACTATTAGCTATTTTCATAATTTTTTCTATAAACTATGAAAAATACACCTTGCATTGATATAAAGAAAATCATATATAATTTTTCAAGCGAACGCTCACAACTCACATAACGGTTAGTTCTATCTTCTTTATTTTATTTTTTTATTTTATTGATTGCAGTTAAATTAAAAATTTTCATGCACACTTTGAAAACCCCTAACACCATAACCAAGTTGCAGGAACACTTATGATCATTCTTGAATTTTAAATGTCAAGTATAAATAATATATTATTGACTAAAAATATGGTGAAAAAGTAGACATGTAAGCACAACTAAATGGTGTAAATTATATAGGAGAAGCAACTTTAGTTTATTGATATAAAAAGCATTAGGTTTACGTACTACACTATATACACACACACACGTAGCAATTGAGATTTGCTATTAAGCTATTCACTGTAACATCTATAAAATAGGCAACAACTTCTTAAATTAGTTAGTGACAAATAGCATACAATGAATGGTAGGGATGGGGACAGAGAAACCCAGCTCATGAAGGAGTTGTTGTAACCATAGAAGTTTAGTGATTGTGAATGCAATGGTGCAATATTTAGTCTTTGTTGAAGAACAAGCAATTGTAGATTGCTTTTTGTATGACCAAGAAATTGCATTTTGGCCAAGATAAACTATATAGGCTCCAGTGGACTTTCTATCACCAATCTTACCACCCCAGTCGACATTGCAAAACGTTGTGAGATCTAACTTGAAAAATTTGGTCAAATGCAACTTGTGGTCAATAAGACTTTAAATAATGCAAAACACGCTTGAGAGCTTGCATGTGTTGGGATAGTTTGTTGATAAAGAAGACGACATCTAGTCTTGTGAGGGAGAGATAATAGAGAGAACCTACTGAGCTGCAATACAATGAGGCATCATAAGTGGCGGAGAGAACCTACTAGGTTGTGATACATTGAGGCATCTTAGGTGGCAGAATCAAGTTGTTCCATGGTGGAGAA